CACTATGCTAGTTACTCTTGTGTTCTCTCTTTCATTCCAGGTGAAGTTTAGAAAGGTAACATTGCCTTGCAAAAAACAAGGGTCCTTAATATCCTTAGGATCCTCCCAGTTTCTTCTATTCTCTCATTTGCACATGAGGGGAAAAACTATTTACCAACTTAAATTCGTTTATGCTTCAAATAATTGAAAGCAGCTTCATTTGGTAGACAATATTATGGGGTTTCTGAAGAATAACTAATCTCCTTTGGTAAACTGTACCCTCATCGTCACCTGTTGCTATCAGTCATAGTAGACAATGTTGATAGTAGCTACACTGATCAGATTTGTGAAGTGTGTGGTAACCAGGGAAGAAGAGAAGCCAGGGTTGAGGCTATTCCCTGCATAGGTGTGTTTCTATTGGGCTTGCTTGAGCTCTTTGGGCAGTCTTATATTTGTGCCTGAAGCCACTGGTAGGACTCATATTCATGTTTCTGATAATTCATTTTAACTCCACTAATACAGTTTTTCTCACATGGGTTATTTTTTTTATATATATTTCACCTACTGTTTCTATGGAGCACTGGTGTCTCATGCTGACAGAGTCAGCACTCAGCTATAATATTGTATAATGACAACCTTTGTCTTGATTGCAAACAGGAAAAAATGTTTAATGGATAGAATTTCCTCAATTCAAATTTTCTTCCAATAACTTGTTACGAGTCTTTGGCTTTAGATACAACTTTTCTGCTAGAGGTTGACAACAGATGACAGAAGAAAATGAAATTGTAAGATTGTAAGTTCATATCAGTGGAAAAACTCAAAACCAACCATTTGGTCATGGTTCAACAGTTTGTTGGGTGTTTTATTTTGCTTTAAAGTCGTAGATTGGTAGTTATGAGTTAATATGGTATACAAATAATGTAAGGTTGATTTCTTTTTGCTAGTAAAAGCATATAAAAATACTGTATAGGCAAAATTAAAAAGATACTGATTTGTATTTTAAAAATATCCCACAAAGAACACAGTGTTCTGCAAATAAGATCAGTAAGATCAAGTATTCTAGATCTCTGTCTCCTGAACAAGTCTTAGTTTCCCCGTCTTAGAAAAATAAGGATCATATTCCTCTAAAGAGCATGAATAGAAGAGATTTATGAATAAAGGATAATATTAAGATACATTAACCTGTGTCCAGTAACTATGAAGTTATAAACATTGCTGAAATTGATATGAATGTCTGAGGATTCAAACCATGTTTCATTCTTAGGATCACAAATGCAGATCTAAGGTCTTACTGTTGTTTTGCAATAGAACTTTGTTATTGGGAAGGCCCATGATGATTATTTAAACAAACTATTTGAAACTTGAATCTCCCTACAAATGGTCCTGTAGCTTCTCTTTGAACACCTCCAGTCAGCCCTTAATTTGACCCTGCCTTCAAGGCAAAATAATAGCATCTGTGTTTGATACTGAATTATTTACATGTGGATCTGTATGAAAGAAGTTAATTTACCCAGCACATTTTTAGATTAACAAGATGCTTTATAATAGGGATTTATACTATCTTTTTGTAGGTGCAAATATGAAATTGAATTTCTACAATTGTGTTCCAAATTCTGAATCTTAGATAAAGAACATGTTATATTTTTTACTGTAATCCTCAACTGTATATTACTTAACTGCATATTACCCATGGCCATGGAAGAAAGGAAAATTCTCTTTCTGAATACAGCCTTCATTCATTTAAGACATTTTATTTATATTCCCATTTTAATAAAAAATCCCCTGCTGTGCAAATGTTCTCCATATGTGGAGAAAGAAGACTAAAATGTATAAAGCCTGCTTTTCGTGTTCTTCAGCTCTTTCAAAATTGGGTATATGCAATATTTTGACTTTTATTTAAATTGCAGAATATGAAAATTTTCCACTTTTAATTTTTGCTTAATCAATTAAAAAGTTCATGATAAGAAACTCAGCTTTCATCTTCCTATTTTAACCTGTATATATGTATATTCTTAAAGGGCTTCTGTTCCCCAAGAAAAATTCTGGTATCTTCCCAAGAGGGAGTATGGCCAAAGAGAATTGACATGGGGCTAGAAAGACAGAGGAGAGAGTGCTCTGAGATCAGTTCAGAAAGCAAGAACAGTATAGAGTTGGCCAGCAATGGGCAAGTGTTTAGGCAATGACCATGAAAAATTTTACGAAGATATTGGGAACTAAACCAAAAGCAGCCAGTGTAGTAAGGGTGTCTTTATTCACAAAGGAGTGACACTAAATCCTGGCTCTGATACTTACTGGCCAGATACCCTTGGGAGAGGCATTTCCTCTCTCTCAACATCCATTTTCTCCTTCAGAAAGTGGAGAAATACCCATCTTCTAGAACTGTATGAGGACTATCACACTGCATAAGCAGCAGGTCTGCTCTTTGGTCTCCTGCTTGGCCCTGTCCTTCCTGAGCTAGAGACAGCCACAACAATGATGCTTTTGGTGTTTGAACCCTATGCCTCCCAACTGATCTTTCCATTTTTAGCCTTTTCATCTAGAAACTCTCAAACATTTATAGCAAAGAAGATGCATGTATACATATATTCATATTTATGTGTGTGTGTATATATATGTGTATATAGTCATTATATATAATATATCTCCGTGTAACACTTATCCAGATTCAACAATTACAAGTTGTCATGCATCTTTTTTGTCTATATCCTCATTTGCTCTCTATTTCCTGCATTAATATGAAGCAAATCCAGACATCATATCATTTTACCTATAATGTTTTAGTATCTCTAAAAGATAAGAACTTTAAAAAATACAACCATAATATCATGTCTAAAATACTTAACAGTTATTCCTTGACGTCCATTAAGTACCTAGTGTGCTTAAATTTCCACTGTCATACATTTTTTGCAGTTTGCTTGAATTAGCATGTAAGTTTTACTCACAAATTACAAAAATTGTCCGAATCTCTTGATCTCTTAGCTAACATGCTCTCCTGTCCTCTATTATATGCAAGTTAGAGGATTCATCAGACTCAGGTTGATTTTGTTGCTGTTGTTGACATTGTTGCGGTATTACCTATGTCAGGCAAGTTATATCAGCCTGCTATCACACGGTATTGCCATTGATGATGTAATTTCCCCAAACCGATGGCAACTATTGGGAAAGGACTGAGTCAATCAGTATGTAACCTTCCCTCCATGTAAATAATAAATAGTTATTTCCTGGAAACTAGTATATATTAGAATTGTGCAAAATATTTTATGTTGATATGCAATGTGGCACTAGACCTATATAATTAATAGTCTATTTTCCACCTGTGTGAATATCTAGCAAGTCAAGAGGTATGTGGGAAATTCTTTGCCAAGAAGGATTATCGGCCAAATTGCAGAAAGTCTAGTATTTCTGGCTCCTGTCCTCTAAGTGCCACTAGCATCCCGCCCAGATCGTTAGGACTGCTATCAGTGTCCTCCATATTTACAAAATGCTCCCTGTGGTTCACTTTGCCCCTGTTGAAAACCACTAGATTAGTTTCAGCAGCAGTAAAAAAGGAAATTGGTTCTTGCTGCACATATGCAGTAATTTGAGGAGAGGAAATAAGGAAAATATACTGTATGGGTATGCGAAATGAATATTTAAACATTCACGAATGTAAAGTTTTTGAAGGTTTTTCTCAGTTGGCAGAATTTTTTTTTCTCCAAATTTTGTTGAAAAATATGAATAGTTTCCTCTGAGAAAACAAATGAAGTCATAATGACTTCATCCATACTGGTAAATAGGAAAACTAGGCAAGAAATTATAAATCCATTTTTAATTTTTTCTAAGCATAATTGTAATTTACAAATCTCCCATTTTTTTGCATAATTGACCCACAATCCTGATTAGTACTTGCTTTATTTCTAAGATAGAAAAAATATAGTTAAATGTTTGTTCTCCTCTTTTTTGTCTTATTAGCTAATATACATCTTGTTTTTTGATCTCAACTTATTAAAGCAGTTACTTTACTCGTTGTCCTTTGTATTTAAATATTGTTCATCATTTCAAGATAGAAGTCATTTTCAAATCTGGGTTAGAAGATATATTTTCATTATTCCCTAAATCAAAAATTATTAATAGTACTCAGCCAGTTTCTGATTCCTGATACATAGTTAATGATCATTAAATATTTGTTGAGTGAATTCTCTCATCCAGTAATCATCATCATTAATATATCTTGCTTCTGTGTAGAATCATGTACTTTCATATGTTAATCTTTTTCTCACAACCTCATTATCATGAAACATTAAGTGTGGGTCTTTTACATAGTAGAAACTGAATTACTGATTTCTTCTAAATCATTCTGGTGTTACTAGAATAATTTAGGTTTTCTGGCTTTGGTTTTACTATTTCAATCAAATAGGTTTCTTTTTGACTTAAAATGATGTTTTCTGTTCCTGCTGCCTGTTTCTCTATCCTCAAAGTATTTGTCAAAGAAAGAAAGGAAGGGAGGAATTATAATAAATTCCCTCAATATTTATATACTGGCCTTGACCCTCAAAAATCCAAAATAGGATATTAAACATTTCAGTGTCAAAGTCTGTCTGGTGGAAGAAGCGGTTCTCCCAAAAGCAAGTTACATTATTTAATGTCTGAAACTGCAAAGCAGGTGCAGCACCAACACAGTAATTGTTCAAAGGCTGAAACTTTGTAACTATGGAGACATTACCTCATAGTGTTCTAAGAGGCAGTGTTGGCCAGATGTGAAAGTGGTTGTCATAAAGGTCTCTTTGCAGGGCTAAGCTTCCAGTGATTGCTACATACCTTCACTGAGGGTTTGTCCTGTATCCTTGACTAGTAAAAGTATTGGCTATGTCAGTACTTACATATTCACATGAAAATTCAGTTTTTGGCACCAGTGTGGTAAAGAAATCATTAAATCTAGTAAATTGAAGATAGTTGGATCAATAGGTGGGTCACTTTCAAGAAATTCTTCCCTAAAGTTTAGCTATATTCATTGCTAATTCCCACGGTCTATTTTTTTCTAGGAAAGAAAAGTGAACTCTTTCCAAGATGAAAGACCCACAAAGCATTCAGGAAGCTTCAGAGGCCCTGAACAGAGAAGTTCAAAGGCAGGAAGATAAAATGGAGAAAGAAGAGAAGTAAGAATGGCATAAATGGGGGCAGGGAATGAGTTTTAGAAAGATATTGATGGACTATTTGAATTTTGTTGTTTAAAAACATGAAGTTAGAACAAGAATAGATCCCACAAATTTTCTAAAAATGATAAACTACAGTATACAGTTCTTTCCCCAGCCACTGTTTCATAATATCTCAGTCCTTGTTTAGTGTAAAAATTCACACATTTCTACCTGATTGAGGTCCGAAGTTTCCAGTGAGTGTGCTAAAGCCATGGACACAATTTCTTTAGAACTAGTTGACTAACCTAAAGACATAAACATTAGAATTTTGGTTTTGGAGATGTCCCTGAGGATGTTACATAAAATCATACAATTATGAGGATGTTACATAAAAATTATTGTTTTTACTGCTGATATAAGTCATTTTACCAAAAAAAGCATTAGTGTTGGTTTTCTAAAAACTAAATTTTGCTGTTGGAGTATGCACAATTTAAACTTTTTGTTATTTGGACCTAGATGTCCTGTGTTGACTCTTCAGTCCAAGTGTGTTTTTTAATATTTGTTTTTAGAGGCAAGAAACCATTGTCACCAGTGTTACCAAAGTAGCATCTCCCAAAGTAACATTGAACTGCTGGAATTGATATGTAATTGCCCCTAGTTTAGTGCCTTTCAACTACAGAGAGAGCAAAAACAAAGAAGGGGCTTGGAAAGTTCCTTACGTTAAAGGGAAAGCTAACTGAGCGCTAAGAAAAATCTCTGGTCTTCCAAAGAGACTGTAATAGGTAGGTGAGTAGGTGGTTCTGACATGAGCTGTGTCATATGAATCAGTTCTTGAAGTATTCAAGCTCTTCATAAGATGTGTGCAGTTGTCAGACATTTCTTATTCAACTACAAAAATAACAACTGGTGTCCCTGAGCCAGATTTCTCTGATTGCAACATTTGCAAAGACTTTTGGGGAATATTTTGTGGAATTAAATTTATTTGGAAATGCTATTGTTTTACTTAAGGAAAAAAAAATGGGAGCTTGAAAAATGAGCATGCTGAAAAGATGTAGCCAGTGTATAATGAAACCCAGATGTAAGGAATGTTGAAAGAGAAAAACACTTTCCCTGTATATTCCAGACAGTGGAGGGAGAAATCATGTCACATGATCCTCTCTCAGGCTGGACACAGATGAAATATTTGTGATTTGACAGTGTACCTCTGTTGTCTCCTTTCCACAAGCTTCAGAGTCATACTCCAGGCAGGGGTTAGAGCTTTTCTGACAAATGTGAATGCCTGAGGTGTCTGCTGCATGGCAAGTACTTAAGCTCACTGAGCAAGGAACTAGTAACACTGCAATTTTTAAAGCCAATGACCCTTAACTTTTTACAAAATTTGCCTGAGATTGGCCTTGCCTTCAAAGAGAGATATGTTTAGGGCAGTCTAGTTGTGAATATAAAGCTCTCTGGATATACTATTTCTGATGAGGGAACTTCCGAATTGAAGAACAAGACGACTGTGTCTGCCTCTTAATAAACACCAGGAGGACATCAGCAAGATGGCAGCAACAGAAGCTCCAGGCACTCATCCCTTGGAGAACCATTGTAAAGAAACCAACCAGCCAGAGACTGGCTATGATAACTGTGCAAGTACTCTGGAAGACAGATTAAACAGAGATAATCCACAAAGCAAAATACTTAACTCCTGACTTATAGTGGATAGATATGCAGCTGCCGAAAGGAAGATGGCTGAATGGGCCACTTTTCCAAGACTTCAGGACTAGGAAGGGTTTTGGACCTTAAGACCTTTGTTCTCAATATATGCATTAAGTACAAGTGTGCACACACACACATGAATTGCTTTGAAGTCACTGGGAAGAGCATCCATGTGACCCATCAAATGGAGTCATTGTAAGCCCTTTCATGAGCCATATCACGATAGTATTGCTTAACTTGTAAGATAGTAGTATTTTAGGACCGCATTCAAATGATTGTGAGAGTTAACAAATGCTTTTATATTCATGAAAAAGAAAGGAAAAAATTCTTGTTTATAGTAAAACTCACTTATTATAATAGTACCTGAAAAGTGTCATTCTTTTCCCTCTTTTCTGCCATTCTGTCCAAGGCGTGCACACACACACACACACACATACACAGAGTTTATTTGAATGCAGATCTTAAAGGTAAAGTCTATGTTAATATAGGAAAATTAGTTAGGCAACAACAGGAATTAAAGGGGAAAGTTATAATAAGCAATCACAGAAATTATGATATTTTTAATGTTACTGAAAAGAGAAAACATGATAAATTAATCCATAGAAGTTGTTTATACCCATATAAGTGGTTTATACAGTTTCAATTTTGAGTAAAATGTGTATTACAAAGCCTGGAAGGAAATGATGAAATCTCTGGTTACTGGCCTTGTAGTGATTATTATTTTCCTCTTCCTGTTTTACACATTTTCAAAACTATCTACAATAGGAATTAATTGATTTTTAAATAGAAAAAAGTAATAAATATAAGATGTATATTTGTATTGTGCATTTAGCTTTGTATCAAAATGCATTTAGCAGAGCTTTGGATCAAAATGACAGCCCATGTATCTTGAATTCATGGACATTTTGAGTTTCTTAACTTTTTATTATAATTTTTGTACACAGAAAAGAAGACAAATTTAAAACTACTCTAATAAAACAGCATTCTTCAATACAGTTTTTATCAAATACCACAGATTCAGATACTACAACATTGCTATTGTCACGGTCATTATCCCATGAAATTCCTCTCAGTTACTATGTGTCTAGTTCTCAGATTAGTGGAGTAAACATATCCATGATGGGACCAATGGCTTCTAAATCTACTGTAATCAGCTTTTCCCAAGAAGACAACATGGGTAAGTAAAAAATATATATACTATTTTTAAAGTATGTATTTCATTAGATTCATTAGGTGCCTCCCATCCAGAATGGTGTTTTATTATTTGTCCCCAATAATGATAATTTCCCCTGTCATATGCAGAGTAACTTGACTATGGTCATCATTGACTCTAGAACTGCAGTCTTAAATTCAGGCCACATAAATGCATATCCCCAGATACATCCTCCCGTGATTAAGATATCAGGAGTAACCATGAGGTTTGTGGGTTGTCTGGGTTGAATTGCTAGTGAATTAAACGCTGCAATGTAAAGTGTTAATGGTTCTTCCCCTGAATGCTGCCAGAAAGATTAAGCAACATCTTGAGTAGTTTGTGCCTTTAGGAGACTTATGGCTCAAATAAGAAATAGACAAATAAGAAAAGGAAGAAATAAAAAAGCAAATTATAACATGGCAAAGAGCAAAGCGGGGGAAGCAATAGAGAATCTGAAGGAGAAGAAGATGTAGCTACTATTGTGATAGTCAGAGGTAGTTTTGACAGTTGTCCACAAGATGCTCAGCAGTACTCATACTCCAGGGGTATTGCTCCTCACCAGGTTGAGGAATCTTCCATAGTTTACAGAAAGCATCCTATCTCTGGAAACACAAGACCAACTCTTTTCCTACCCTCAACAATGTAAAGCATAGCAACTCTGGGTTTTATTTTCCATAACTAGAATAGGGATTACAGTATAAACATCACAGGATTAGTGTAAGGATTAGGAGAAATACATATAAAAATCACCTAATGCATAATCTAGCACATAGTAAGTACTCAATAAGACTTATATGTGAATTTTAATATACCTGTAACACCTTATTTTAGAACGTTATTTATTGGGTTCTGTGTTTATGTTTTTTAATTTTTTTCCTATATGTTTTATTTATTTATCTTATTTATTTTTTTATTAGTTGTTCAAAACATTACAAAGCTCTTGACATATCATATTTCACACATTTGATTCAAGTGGGTTATGAACTCCCATTTTTACCACGTGTACAGATTGAGGAATCACATCAGTTACACATCCACGTTTATACATACTGCCTTACTAGTGTCTGTTGTATTTTTCTGCCTTTCCTATTCCCTACTATCCCCCCTCCCGTCCCCTCCCCTCCCCTCCCATCTTCTCTCTCTACCCCATCTACTGTAATTCATTTCTCTCTCTTGTTTTTTCCCCCTTTCCCCTCACTTCCTCTTATATGTAATTTTGTATGACAATGAGGGTCTTCTTCCATTTCCATGCAATTTCCCTTCTCTCTCCCTTTCCCTCCCACTTCTCGTCCCTGTTTAATGGTAATCTTCTTCATTAGCAACCCACAACAAGTTTCAAAACTGGTAGCACAAACACTCCCAAGGGTATATCTGATACCTCCATTTCCTCTCCCATTTTGTGAACATTTCCAGTCTGGCAGCATCTCATCTATATTTAATTTTGCTTCTGGTATTTTCCTAAACCTTTGACACAGTTTTATGCAGGGTTTTTTTCCTACTGCCATTATAGTCATCTTCCCCATGTTTCCTTGTTTGTATAACTAAGATAAACTTTCCAAAGAAGCCTCTTAACTTTACACAGAACATCAGTGTAATAACCAATACCCATAGGCTTAAAATGCAAATACAAATTTTAGATCTAGGAAGGGAAGATTCTCTATCCCTTGGCATGATATATTATATCATGGAAGATGCTCTGTATTTGGGTTCAACTGTAAATGCTTTTCACAATGGGTAGAGTGTGACAAAAGTTTGTGGCTTCCCTTTGCAAGGTGAGAGATGATCTGGGATGTGGTCGGGTCCACTGGAACTTGTTGCAATGTCACCTGTGGTTCTAGATGAAATAGCAACTGGGAGAAAAATTGAGGTTTTCTTCCTTTGGTAGTTCATCTACCAGGATGAGCTTTTGAGAAGAATACCATATATTATCCTTTCCCAGTGGAATTTAGTGATTAAATATTTGCTTGACTGAAAATGAACTCTTTTCAACAAATTACTTTGTGAAGAATCCTTTTTAGTAATTATGGGCAAGAGGTGTGGCTCAGTGATAGAGCATGTGCTTAGCATGTTTAAGGACCTGGATTCAATTCCCAGCAGAGCACCAAAACAAATAAATACAACCTATGATTTTATTCCTTTATGTCTTTTACTTTGCTTTGTTCTTGTTGAGGACATATGAATCTAAAACAAAACCTAAATTATTTTAATCCTTTGAGGATTCTGGACCCAGGGCCACACTAACCATATCCTTTACTGTATAACAGCAATCATTTTTCAAGTACCTGCTAAATCCTAAACACTGTGCCAGACACTTACCTGCTTTATCTCCAGTCCTCACTTCTCCTTTTTTATGTTCAAGAAAACTGAAACTTGGAAAGTCCAAACCCATTGACCTGATAAGTGACATGGCTGGGACATAATTGTAGAGAATTTCTGTCAACAATTCTCTGCAGAAAATTTCAAAAAAGAAAACATCTCAAAGATCCTAGAACCTGATTAAACATTACTTTATTTTTCTGATAAAATACATATTTTAGTTGATGGACAAAGTTTAAGTTTTTATCTGGGAAAAGGACTAAGCATTGGCAGAAAAGGACTCATTTGAGCCTTTAATTTATGGGTAATAATTTGTGTAGCATAGAAAACACAAAATAGAATATGACTATAGTGTACATAACATATCCAAATTTTACAGACTCGAATGCTTTACCTACCTAAAACTGATGTTTCTAACAACCTAATCAGTTAAATAGTCTATGATAGCTGAAAATAACCATTCAAAAGCTGATAATTATTCTGAGTTTAACGGTAACAATAAAATATAGAAAAAAATATAGTTTTGTAGAAGTAAGGAGTAAAGACAATGCTTCAGGGTTCTTTGAATATTCACTTATTGACTTCTCTCTCATTTACTTCTCTAGATTCTTTGAAAGAAATCAACTCCTTCCTATTTCCCAAGAAAAAGGGGCTGTCAAACTTTGAATCCCAATCATCTGTGATCGGTGAAGGAGAGGATTACTTCTTTTCTTTGTTTCGTGATTCCAATAAATTTCTTGACAATTCACACCACACCAGAGATATTTTCAAACGCCTTTCTATGATTCTTGAAGAAGTTGGGACCTCTATGTGCAGGTACAGACTCTATTTTAATTGTTTGATATTCTCTTCGAAGGGAGGACTGATCAGTAGAAAAAAGAATTCTGATCTATTGTTAGTTCTGATCTATGACTTCTTCTAAAACTCCAAACAAGTCATTGAAATATAATTAAAAGCAATTGATGTTAACATTCTAGAGAAGTAAAAGTGCTAGAGAAGTGGCTCAGTAGGCTGAGTCAGGAGGATCATGAGTTCAAAGCCAGCCTCAACAATGGCAAGGCCCTTAGCAATTCAATGAGACTCTGTCTCTAAATAAAATACAAAATAGGGATGGGGATGTGGCTCAGTAGTGGAGTGCCCCTGAATTCAGTCCCTGGTACAAAGAAAACAAAAAGCCAGAGAATATAGCACTGTATAATCCCTACAAAGTCCATACCCCATTATTCAATGATTTTTTTTTCATTGTTGGTGAATCATTCAGATGGTTTTAATGTTTTTTTTTCCCTAGTAGACTCTTGAATTCAAGACAGGAGAGAGATTAATTTTTACCTCCTTGATCCATCATTACAATGTCAGTATCTATAGCAAAAAGAATTCATCAGGAAGAAAGTTGATATTAGGACTAAAAGAAGGAGCTGACTCATCTACTTATTTACCTAACTCTGCCTTACTTACTTACATAAACAACGGATTGAACTGTGAAATGTTAGTAGTGAACTCATGTTGGCATAAGGGTATTCAAGAGCTAATACAAATTGGTAGGTAGTGTTGAGTGTCAGTTATGAAGGAACTTTTTTCTTCTTACCCCTTGTTTCCTAAAAATCACAAGCATTCTAATGCCAACTGGGATTGGAAAAAAACCAATGAGTTTCCTCAACTGTCTAAAAACACTTCATCAAATCACTCACTCAATACCAACCATGTTAAAAATAATGAACGATTTGGGGCAAAAATTTTGTCAAAGATTTAAAGGATATGATTTCAAGGAGTCTGAGAAGACCTGCAAATGAGGATAAGACAGGCAAGTAACAGATACCCAGGCATTTAAAAGAGAGCTTGCTTGCAGGGCAGGATGATCTGGGAAGATTATGTGAAGGAGCTATAATTTAGACTACACTTTGAAAGACAGCCTAGTCATTATAGAGTAGTGAAAGGGGATCAAGCTGGAGGGAAAGAGAAGGAACTGCAAAATGAAATAGACCAAATTATGCTAAATCCTTGAAAGAATATATTACAGGGAATCCTACTTTCATGTGTAATGCACCAATTAAGAATAAACAAAAGGAAGATCAGTCAAGTAGAGGAAAGGGATCAGCGGAAGGAAGGAGGAAAGGTAAAGGGATGGTACTAGACATTGAATTGCTGGAGCCAATTATGCTATGTGCAGATACACATGTCACAACGAACACCACTATTATGTGTAATTATAATGCACTAATTTAAAAGAAAGATAGGTCAGTTTGGGATATACAAATTTGGAGTATGTGAGAACACTCTGTACTATTGGTTTTCAATACTCAGTATGGTCACCTGGGATGCTTTTCTTGTCCTGACCCCAACTCAGACTATTTGAGTCAACATCCCTTGGGGTAGAATCGGGCAACTATTATTTGCTGTTGCTGTTATGTGTTTTAATGCCATGATGATTCTAATGCATAGTCAGGATTGAGAACCACAAGCCTAGAGCAAAGGAGAAGCAGAAAGCTAAAGAGGCAGAAAGGTTAGGATCAGGTACAAAGAATTGTACAGTGTGGTCACATCAGGCAGTGCATGAAAAAATATGATAGGGCTGTAGGTTCTAGTGTTGAAAGCAGGATTTTTGTCCCTTTGCCCGGTAGGAGAGATCTGCATAAGCAGCAGGTCTCCACAGCCAAAAAAACATGTTGCAGGTCTTAATGGAGAACTGTGATCACAACAGCTCACTGCTGAGTTCTTTCCAGGTTCTTGTCTCCTAAACTTCAGGGACAACTGAAAGCAAGAATGAAAGTTGTAGAACTTATTCAAAAATAGAAAGTGAATTCTCACCTAAAAGAGGGGAGAACCGATAGCAGGTTGCCACTGGAACATGCTAGTCTAGAGGTTTATATGGCAGTTGGATCAATGCTATTGGTCCAAATTCATGCAAATCAGGGTTTTAAAAAATATTAATGCTATTGGTCCAAAATTATGCTAATCAAGGTTTGGAAAAGTACCAACAACCCTTGAGTCTGAACTTCCATTCAGGTCTGCCCCACTTCTGTTTTCTTGAGGCTCATCTGCAATCCCAGCTTCCCAGGAGGTTGAGATCAGTGGATCCTGGATGCTAGGAATTATAGGCCATGCCACTGTGTGGTATGGGAGTAGGGCATCCACACCGGCCTAAGCCCTGGCTCACTCTGCCTCAGGCTGGTACATGCATGGCAGGCTTTGCATGAATATGGCCCATGTGGATGCATGGCACCTGGTATACCTGCTCACACTAGGCTAGGGGCAGCAGCAGGTAGTGGGCAATGATGCTGGGTTCCTGTGCATGCCAGCCCATCTAGACATGCTTCACTGCCACTGCTCCTGGGACAAGAGCTTGGATTCAGCGTGAAAGAGATTATAGTGTATCTTGAATTCCTGGTTTAAGAATTTGGATTTCACGATGGGAAATCTGGAAAGTTTTTTTTCCTCCATTATTATTATTTGGGGGGGGGGGTGGGTGTTACCAGGGATTGAACTCCTTAGGGGCACCGAACCACTGAGCAACATCCCCAGTCCTATTTTGTATTTTATTTAGAGGCAGGGTTTCACTGAGTTGCTTAGAGCCTCGCTGTTTGCTGAGGCTGGCTTTGAACTTGTGATCCTCCTGTCTCAGTCTCTCGAACCACTAGGATTATAGGCGTGCCACAGAGTGCAGCTTTTCTCAATTATTTTTACTGGTGCATTATGGGTATACAAAATGGTGTGATTTGTCACTACATTTTGTACATGCACACATTATAGCAATATAATTTGGCCAATATCATTCCCTAGTGTCTCCCCTTTCTCTCCCTCCTCCTTCCCCCTGTCCCTTTCCTCTAAGGTACTGATCTCCCTTTGAATTTTGTGAAATGTCCCCCACCCCTGGGAAAGTTTTGATCATGGAATGACAGAATTGTTATCCAGGACATATAATCTGTGATGATGAATATTAAACCTAGATGTTGGGTATTGTCAATAGTTTTTATGCATCTATTTATAGTCTTTTTTTTTAATCTTAAAGCAGCTTTTTACTCTTAGAATAACCCCTATTTGGTCTTAATATTTATCCCTTTAATACATTGTTGAATTCAGATTGCTAAAATTTCATTTCAAGTTTTTGTGTCTATGTTTGTAAAGAGTATTGGTCTATAGTCTTCTTTTCTTATAATTTTTTTTAACTTTGGTATGAGGGTAATGCTTATCTAATAAAATATATTTTATTTCATTTTCTAGAAGAATTTGCATAGAAGTAATATTATTTTTCCTTAAATGTTTTATAAAGTTGACCACTGAAGTTATCTGAGCCAGGAGTTTCTTTGTGGGTAATTTAAAATTTTTTTCTTTGTTTTAATTGGGTTATACATTATAGCAGGATATACTCAATAGAGTATATTACTCAGCTTTAAAGAAGAGTGAGATTATGGCATTTGCCAGGATATGGCTGGAGTTGGAGAATATCATGCTAAGTGAAATAAGCCAATCCTACAAAACCAAAGGCTGAATGTTTTCTCTAATATGCAGATGCTAATTCACAATAAGGTGGAGTGGGAGGCACTAGGGAAGAATAACATTACCTTAGATTAGATAGAGAAAAGTGATGGGAGGGGAGGGAAGGGGATGTGGGGATGTATGTATGACATGTATCATACTATGTATGATACTGGGAAATTTTAAAACTACAAACTTTTAAAATAGATATCAGACTATTCTGTTTATTTCTTCTGAGTACACTTGAATAGTTTATGTCTTCCAACGAATCTTCCCATTTTGTCTAAGTTATCAAAGTTATTGACACAAAGTTGTGTATAACATTCTCTTAATATCCTTTTACTCTCTGTAGACTCTCTATGTCACCTTTTCTTGTTCACAGTATGATCCTTTGTGTGTTCTCTTTTTCCTGCTTGCTTTTGTTACAGGTTTAGCAGTTTTATTGAGTTTTGCCAAGAACCAGTATTTGCCTTCATTGATTTTTATCTATTTTTTGTTTGCTTTCTATTTCATTGATTCCCATTCGGATCTATACCTACTCCTGTTTGTTTCATGGGTATTGCTTTTCTTTCTTTTTTAAATTTTTAAGTTGGAAGTTGAGAACATTGATTTGATAACTTTTTCTCTTTTGACATAGATATTTTACTGGGGCGGGGGGTACCAGGGATTGAACTCAGGGGCACTCGACCACTGAGCAACATCCCCAGCCCTATTTTGTATTTTATTTAGAGATAGGGCCTTACTGAGTTGCTTAACACCTCGCTTTTGCTGAGGCTGGCTTTAAACTCTTGATCCTCCTGCCTCAACCTCCTGAGCTGCTGGGATTATAGGGGAGTGCCACTGTGCCCAGCTGACATAGATATTTAATATTAAAATTTTTCCTCTAAGTACTACCTAGTTGCATCCCACACATTTTGAAATGTATGTTCATTTTCATTCTATTCAGAATATTTTCTAATTTCCATTTTTATTTCCTCTTTGATTCTTGGGTAATTCGGAATCATTATTAAGTTCCCAAATATTTCATAAATTTTTCCAGTTTCATGATTTTCCAAATATCTTCTTGTTATTGATTTCTAGTTAATATTCCATATAGTCAAAAATATGCTTTTTATGGCTTGAAACATTTAATATTTATTGAGACTTGTCTAATATTCAGGACATTGAGTATATTGGTAAAAGTTTAAGTACACTTGAAATGAATGTGTATTTTGATGTTGAGTGAGGTGTTTCATAAACACGTTGGTTGATAGTGTTAAGTATACTGTCTTTTGCTTATTTTCTGTCTACTTGTTCTATCAGTTATTGAGAGAGAGAGGTATTAAAATCTGCTATAATCTGAA